CATAGGGTGGCTATGAGTCGCAAATGACTCAATGGCACATAACAAAAACATCTCAAGTTGGGAAAATTTTCTTCAAATTAACTCATCTCTTTCCAATTGCTCTGAGAAGAATGAAATTCCAATTGCTCAACCATGGTCTACAAATTTTCTCTACCAGATCCTATAAGATCTGGACTATGGACTAGCCCAGCCACACTTCCTTTCTTCTCCAACATTCAGGCTATGTTCTCTGTGAGTCTTTTAATTTACACTTTTCTGCAGCGGCTACAATCTCTCAGCTCTTTGTAGGTCATTCCCACTTGTTATGTTAGGGCCTCAGCTCACTGGTCACCATTCAGTGAAGCCTTCTTTGACCACTCAGTCTATAAACAATGCTGCCATGCTCCATCACTCTTCATACTTGCATTCTGTTTTGTTCTCTTATAAAATAAATTAGCTGTAATTACTCTTCTGTATGAGTTTGTCTGTTTTTTTCTCTTTCTTCCAAAAGAAGTCTAACTGTCATGAATGAAGGAATCTGACTTATCTGATTCTATATACGGAGACCTTAGAATAGTATTTGAGAGAATGAATACATGACTCAACCAATCCTTTTCCTAGATAGACAAGAAGTATTACTGATTGTTGCCTGCTGCAAGTTGGATTTGTGTGTGTGTGTGTCTTTGAGTTGACTATAATTCATAGTGACCCTGTGAAAATGACTGTGAACTTTCCCCTATCTTGAGCTAACCCCACAATCTCCAACACACTTGAGACTACTGCTGTGGACGTGCATCAATCCTTATTGCTAAGGGTCTTCCTCTATTGTGCTAACCTTCCACTTTCCAAGCATGATATCCTTCTCCAAAAACCGGCTTCTCCTGACAATTTGCCAAGACTGTCTGAGATGCAGTTTCTCCATTTTTGCCTTTAAGAACACTTTAGTTTCACTTTCTCTAAAGCAAACCTATTTGTTCTCTTGTGATTTCATGGGACAGTCAATATTCTTCTCCAGAACCATAACTCAAAGGCATCAAGTATTCTTTTGTCTTCCTAGGTCGCTATCTAGCTTTCAGATGCCTAGCAATCAATTGAAAAGACCATGGCCTGGATCAGGCACACTTTAGTCTTTATACTGACATAGCTGCTCTTTAGTACTGTGGAGAGATCTTTGACAACGTATTTTTCCCAAAACAACTTATCCTTTGATTTCTTGACTGCTAGCATCTAAGGTGTTGATTTTGAATCCAAGTCTTTTCACCATCTATCATGATGCTGCCTACTGGCCCAGTAGTAAGGATTTTTTGTTTTCTTGATGTTGAGATTAATCCTTTTGAAGGCTGTACTCCTTGATCTTCTACACAAGCATTTCAAGTCTTCCTTATTTTGGAGCAAGTAAGGTTTCGTTATCTGCATAATCAGGTTGTTGATGAGCTTCCCGCTGATTCTGATGTTAAACTTTTCTTCATAAAGTCCACTTTCTCAAATAATCTGTTCAGCATATAGATTGAAAAGGTATGGAGTAAAGGTACATTGCCGACACTCTCCTTTCTTGATTTGAACCATGAAGTGTTCCCTTGCTCTGTTCTAACAACAACTTCTTGGTCTAGGTTTTATATGAGCACTACTGAGTGTTCTAGGATCCCCACTCTTCTCAGTGCTAGTCATGCTATGTTGTGATCCTAAAATCAAATGCCTTTTTATACAAAAGTACATAAAACCTAAGGTATCCTTACGAAACTCCTTGCTTTCAGATAAAATCCATCTGACATCAGCAATGACGTTCCTAGTGTCAGAGTTTCATCTAAATTCAGCTTATACTTATGGTAGTTTTCTGTTGATGTATTGTTACAGTCATTTTTGGACAGTTTCAGCAAGATTATCCTTGCATGTGATATTAATGATATTGTTAGATAATTTCTACACTCGGTTGGATCATTTTTTTTTGGAATTAGAATAAATATGAATCTTTTCTAGTCATTTGGTTAGGTAGCTGTTCTCCAGATCTCTAAATAACACAAACTGCAGTATATTCTATACCATTCCTCAGTTACCAACATTAAGTGCAGCATTAATGTTAGGCAGATACAGAACTAATCAGAAATAGCCTAAGAATGCTTAGAATGCTTCAGCAATGTAGAAAAACTTGAAATATGAGAAAGTCAGAAAGAACAGCTCTCTTAGTCTCAGGAGAAGAGAATAATTACCTCTTCTCTCGTGACTAAGTCATTCTGCTTTTCTAAAGAGAGTGCAGCTGCCAGCAATTTTAAAGAGGAACATCAATGTTTTTTTTTTCAAAGGAGATTTTGCAACCAGAGAACAGAAAAAGAGAAGAAGATGGGAGAAGGGGATCTTTGAGGCAGGAGAAGACAGTCTTAGAGAGGGTTGGGGATATTTTTGTATTTTGTTTTTGTTTGTTTATTTGTTTTTTTTCCAATATAAACATACAATTCAGATAATGACTTTTACCTGCACATAAGACTCCTTTGGAACATACCACTTACCTTGACATTGACAACATATCTGGATTTGCTTAGAGAACATATGGTTTTGTTTTCTTTAAGTATCTCTTTCCAGCACATGTCAAAGGACTTTTAAATCTTGGCTTATTAGAAATTGAATTTTCATTCTTTAAGGGTGATGGCCCTACCACTTGTCTACCCTTGGTCCTACCTGAGAATGGTTCTGTCTTCCCAACAAACAGTTCCCCTCCAGGGAAGCTCACTGAAATAAACACAGAATAGCAAAAAGAGCAAGATGTCCTTGAAGAAAGAATATGTCATAACATAATTCTTTCTTTCTCTTTTTAATAATCTCTGAAGCCAAGAGAACTCTTTGTCCTGTTTTCTGTAAAGTCAACAAGGAGATTAGGTAATATAAAGTATGCATGCTTACCAAAATGTTTTCTTTTGGGCTGAGATATGTTTATTTCCAACTTCCCACCTCAAGTTGTAATTTATTTAATTACATTGAGATTACCACATAAACAAATACTATTGATTACCTAACAAGCAAAACTCTTTTTTTTCCTAAAACCGTTTGTATTATCTTGATTAAGTAAAAACAATCATCAATTCTAGTTTCCATTCCCAGTTCTCTCATTTTCTCTGCACCTGTGATATTTCCCCAATATTAGTACAACACAAATTCAGCAGGATATAAAGAAAGGTACATTGAAAAGATCTGAGGCAAGTAAAACAAACTGCTGACAGCTTGTTGTTATATACCATCGGATCTGAACTAAGTTATAGCTGATCCTCCAGTGGGTTTTCCAGAGGCACTAAATCACATGGAATAAGACTGACCATCTTTCTATCTTGGTTAATAGCAGGTTGATTTGATCTTTTTGCCTTTGGGTTGAAAGCTTAAATCTTTACCACTCAACCTCCAGAGCTGCCTTACAGAAATCTTATTAAAACAAGTAAAAAGAGCAACAATGTTAATCTGGGGCTTAAGGTGTGCCTGATCCAGACCACGGTCTTCACAATTATTTGCTATGCATCAGAAAACTGCACAATGACTAGAGATGATAGGAGAATTGATGCCTTTGAGCTGTGGTGAGAGAAGAGTATTGAATATGGACTGCTAGAAGAACAAACATGTTCATCCAAAGAGGGTGAAACCAGGCTGTTCCTTGGAGACAAGGATTCTGAAGCTCCAGCGGACATATTTTGGGCATGTGGCAAGGAAGGATCAATCTTTGGAGAGGGACATCATGCTTGTGAGGATGGAGGGACAACACAAGAGAGGAAGACCCTCAATGAGATGGATTGACTCAGTGACTGGGATAATGGGGATAAGTGTGTCATGATGTAGCTACTGAACAATAAGAAGCAATAGAAATAGATTTAGAATGATCAAGAACTTCTTTATTAACTCTCTACTATATCTTCATAGAGTCGGTGGGAACAACAACAACAGTGCATTCATAGAGTCCGTGGTGGTATAAATAGTAAGCGCATTCACCCATTAGCAGATAGCTTGGAGGTTCAAGTCTAACCACAAGTGTCTTGAAATAAAGATCTGGTGAAATATTTCCAAAGAATCAGCTAGTGAAAACCACACAGAGCAGTTTTACTTGGGGACACATAGAGTCACCATGAGTTAGAATAGATTTAAGGTCAACTGGTACTTATATTGTAACAAAAGTAAAACTATTTATAGACTTGGGTCTTATTTGAAGGTGTTTATTTTCCAAAGAGTCAAAACAAAGGGAAGAGATTCTGAAATTAAAGAGCTGCAAAGAAGATTTCAAAGAACAGCTCCAGAGGACAAAGCAAAGCATTCGAATATGTAGAGATTTGAAGGTGGAGAATTAAAAAGGAATAACACTTGAAATTTCTCAAGCTGGAAGAACTGTAAAACAAATTCAAGCTTTGAGTTGCAATATTGTGAGATGCTATGAACAAAATCTTGAATGATCTAGGAAGCATCAAAAGAAAATGGAAGGAATATAAAGAGTCACTGTACCAAAAAGAATTGGTCGATATTGAATTATTTCAGGAAGTACCATATGCTTAAAAGCCAATGGTAACTGAAAGAAGAAGTTCAAGCCATACTTAAAATACTAGAAAAGAATAAGACCCCAGGAATGTATGGGATACCAATTGATATGTTTTGTATTCCTGTAAATCTGAAAGGTACAATTTAGTCCTTTAATAAATGAAGAGAATTTTAAGGTTATTTACTCTTAGAACAATTGCTCTGTGTAAACTTAGCACATATTCTAATGATATAATCTGAAATTTTAATCACTCTAAAGATAAAGTAGACTCAAACATGGATCTACTCTATCCTGCCACAATATAAATCACATTAGTACATTTTCAGACAGCTCTGTTTAAATTTCTCTTTTTTTAATATTTATGTTATCTTACGGTATTCATTGTATTCCTTAACAGCCCACTAAACTAATTTCTTGAAAAAAGTAGAACGCAAACAGTTGAATAAACAGTTATTTCTCTTTTCCAATATTTTTTTCCCTGTAAAATGTCTTTCTGTCTGGAAATAATTGCTCCTACCTTTGGTTGTTTGCAAAGGTATCGACAGATTTCTCCAATATACTGAAATACAGTTACGTTATACTTTTTACAGTCATTCCAAAACTGGGTCGCTGAGAATTTTTTCTTTAATACACAAGTGGCACCTACAAGAAAAGCAAAAACAGGTGCTAACATAATGTATGTTAATGAAGCACAATGCATACAAATTTTGTATGCAAACATATAAAATAAAGATAAAGTTGGGAGGGGGGAACCCAGCACTATGAGAAAAAATTGAAGGGAGAAAAAAAGAATATAAAGCTCAGATGATGTTGTGTTGTCTAGGACACTTTCTCTCACTTTCAAGGGTCTTACTATCCATCATGTACCATATTGATATCAAGTTCATTTGAAAACACTGACTGACAATAAAGGCAAATAAATCTTTTAAAAATGCATGTGGTAATTCTACATTGTGACTGCAAATGTACTTCATGCAACATGTAAATAAAATAATAGTATAAATAGCAGGAGGCATCACACATATTAAAGTATGACCATAGCCCAAGAAATCATGAGGGGATGCTTTCTTCAGAGGCCAAAAATATGAAAATATAAAAAAGTAAATTTATAATAATGTATTACATATTTTATAATTTATATGATAATAGTCTTTCTTTTTATAAGTTTAAAGCAGCCATGAATTATCAATGAGATCTTTAGTTAAGAGTAGTGTTAATTAAAAAGTTCTGAAAAAAGTTCAGCATCTGATTTTAACAACAATGTAAATAGGCTCTGAGAATCTTTTTAATGTCTTGGCCTTAATTTTTTATTATTATAGACATCACTGATTTTCTAAGTATTCTATCCTATATGATATTTTACCTCACAGTATTTTAGACATATACAAGTAGCAGTGACTGATCTCTTTTAGTGCTTCTCCTATTCCACAGTATCCCTTACTTATCCCTCTTTTCATAGTTCCCCCCCAAACAGGTTTCTTTTTATTTAATGGGGGGAAAAATAAAGCATTCTTTTAGATCTTTTAGATCTTCTCCTGTGTAATTTACAGACTCATAAATCCAATGGAAGATCAGCTATGAGTTTATTATGACTGTATGGCAACGAGGTTGATTGGTTGTTTTGTTTTGTTTTGTATTGGGTTTTTTTGCTTGTTTTGTTTTTTTTTAAAACTGATCCATTATCCCAGCATGTTCAGATGCTACTAAAACGGAATCTACTGGATTACTAATTTTAACATCTGATTTTCTGGATGTCTGGGGTAGAAGGTTTGCTAAGATGATCCCACCAATCCCTTCCGTGTTCTCTCCTCTGCAATGTCCATTTACCAATCCTTACATCACAAGATGGTGTTCATTTGTCTATGCTTAGCATCCTGAATGTTGGCTGGGCTTGTGACTTGCTTTTATCAGCAGAATACAGAGAATGTGATCTATGCAACTCCAAGTGTAGTCCTTAAAAATCATGCCACGTCTACTTGACTGGAATATTTCTACCACCATTTGAGGAAGCCAGAAGTAGACCATTACATGAGAGACTATGTAGGCATAGAAGCTCACTGAATAGCCAACTCCCCAGTATCAGACATATTAACACAGCCCTAAAGAATCCTTCCAACCAGTGCTGAGGAGCCAGTTAACACAGATGTGAGTACAGGTGAGGACAACAGAAAGACTGGCCAATCAACCCACAGAATCATGAGAAATGATAAATCATCATTGTTTAAATCACTATTCATGGTCATCTCTTTGGAACCAATGGCATACTTCAATATGATTCTAATTTTATAAATTACATGGGAGGAGACTGCTCCTCTTTTTGCCTCAAAGCAGTTGATTAATTCAAACAACAGAGACGTGTGATCATTGGGTTAGTAAATTTACTCCCTAAAGATTAAACCACCACTGCTCCCTATGTAACAGATAAACAACACAGTGATTTCTTATCTAATTTTGTAGAAAAGTGCAAATGGAATAAATATATTAGTATATTTTGGGCCAATATAAGTTCCTTTGTTAAATGAATATTTTCTTTTAATTGTGATTTAAATGAAAGTTTACAGAAAAATTAGATTTTCATTCATTCATTCATTGTTGCACATTTAATCCCCTCTCTTCTTTCCCCTCTCCAGTTCACTTTTCCTTTTTAAATATTCATTCACTATTGCACAATTACTCCCCCCTTCCTCTTTGTAATGTACCTCTTATTCTAAGCTGTTGCCATACATATAATGCCTAACCATATATCCTTTTAAAACAATTCTATCCTTCATCTGTTCCACTGTGTTCCTATTCCACAGTATCCCTTACTTATCCCTCTTTTCATAGTTCCCCCCCAACAGGTTTCTTTTTATTTAATGGGGGGAAAAATAAAGCATTCTTCATTTCCATTATATCTCAAACAGCACCAAATTCTTCTAACTAATCTAAAATATTTTTTAAAATCAATTATTGCAGCGAGTTAAACTGAGCCAGAGGCTAAGTATTTAGGATTTTTATTTTCATTATCAATTTATTACTTCAATTTTAAAAAACTGCTACAAACCCATGTCTATTTAAAATAAGTCTTATTTTCACTTAAGCTTGCAAATGATCATGTTTTTTGCTATCTTCAGTGTCATGAAAGTTGTATCTCTGAGTCATAGTAACCCTGTAGGACACTGGAGTACAACTGTCCTAAGAGTTTCATAGGTTATTATTATCTTTATTGGTGCAGATTTGTGGCTAAGTCAAGAGTTATTTATTGAAGGTCTACCACCATGGGCCAGGTGTTCAGGATTGGAAATACAACGATGAATACGATTAGTAAATATCTTGTTATCCAAGAGCTCTTCTTTATGGTTAAGGAATGTTAAGTGTACCAATAATTTATATTGGCCTAAAATGGACAACAGAGGACACTTTTCCTTCACACCCTTGCTAGAGAATGTCATCTTGAATAGTTCTACAAATGGTGCTTAATGCTTGTGGAGAACTGTATAAAAGAAATAATCTTTTCCTCCAAGTGTCTCAACTTCTGACTTAGATCAAACTGGACTATCAGAAAGCTCCTTTATTAGTTTTTCTTTTTTGAAGCATCATCTAAATTTTATCACTGATCAACATTGTATGTGATGTCTTTGGTATTCAATGACGAATGCAGCAAGAATCTGCCTGATGGTGCCAATTATTCTATTCCCTTTGAAAATACTGTGGAAAATATTGTTCTGTTCACATCAAGAAGGCACATATTAGAAATGTTTTCCTGCCCTTAAGGAAGCTCTGGTGGCCTTGTGGGGAGAGAGCTGCACTCTTCACCCTAAGGTAGGCTATTTGAACTCAATATTTGCTTCAAGAAAGAAAAATAGGTAATCTCCTCCCATGTGATTTACAGTTCTGAAAACTTACTGGAGGATCAGCTATGAGATGATTCTGAATTAACAATGAGTTTGAGGGGGTTTTTTTTGAGCTGTTAAAGGGACTGTTGTTTCTTACATTCTGACAACAAAAATTAAGACAATTAGATAAAATTGGATAAAAATTTTTCAAAAACAAGGAAAATCAGAAACCTACATGCAGAGACACAAACTAAACACATTAAATCATATTATAAAAAAATCTATGGCACACACAAACACACGTACAGTACTTAGAGCAATGCTCTTTCCACTTAATGAACATAAAGAGAATGCCATGAAATTGCCCCCTTTTAGTAGCTTCATATTAAAATTAAAGAATAAGCATACGGTCACTATGAATTCCAGAATAAAATTTAATTTATAATGAACATAAGTTGTAATTATTAGACAGTTGGAAATAAAAAATATAACTTACCTAACTCAATACATCCACCAATTCCCAGGAGAGATCCTGAACTGTGATACAGAGGAAGAGTTATATAAATGATGTCATTAGAAGTACAACCGAATGCCCACAGTCCAGCGGAAGCCTTCAGAGCTTGTAACTGAGTGATCACAGCTGCTTTTGGTAGGCCTTGAATAGAAGAAAGGGGGAAAATACATCTATATACACATATGTGTGTGGGGGGGTATTAGAAGGAAAGACTCTGATATCAAGTACGACAGTGAATGAGACAAACTAGATAAAAGATTCTACATGTCTTATAAAAGAGGGTATGCATACTTGAGCTTCTTCTGTCATCAAATGGTATTTATTTTTTTTAAAGTATAATCTAAGAGAGTTCTGATGTCCTAGTGGCAAAAAAGCTGTGCTGCAATCCCAAAGGCATGAGGACACCATCTGCTCCATAGGAGAAGGATGGGCAATCTCCTCCCTTGCGGCTAGCTGCCTCTGAAAACCCGCTAGAAGGTCAGCTAGGGGTTGGTTCTGTCTCTATGATACACAACAACAAATGTCCACAAAAACGAAAACAAAAATTGCATTGCTTAAACCTAAAAAGGTATACCCGGGATGAGGCAAATCACAGCATAAAACGAAATCATATTTAAAGTAAAAGTTTCCTACTGGATAATTCCAACTTCAAGTATGAATCTGTCTTAATTATGAGCCCAGGCAATCTCTAAGAAATTAAGAAACAAACTGAAAAGACAGAACCTCCCCTAGAGCTGACAGAGAAGACAGAATACTTTCCTCTAGAGCTGGTGCTCTGAATTCACACTTCCAGGAAACTCCGATGGCCTATTCCATAAGGGAGTTGCAATGCTAACCCCAAACGTGGTAATTCTTAGAAAGTCTGACTCCACTAGTGACTCAGCGAGAAAGATGAACAATCTCCTCCTGTGAAATTTACAGCCTTATAAAGCCTGTTGGAAGTTCAGCTGAGGTAGGTCTGACTCAAAGCTAGTAAGTTTTTGGCTTTTGTTGCTTTGGTTCTTTGTTTCTGAAACACTTCAATTACAAAAGGGAGCTCTGGTGGCATAGTGGTAGGATGTTGCACTGCTGAAACAACGGTAGGCAGTTCAAATTCGTTGGCTATGTTATGGGAGAAAAATAGACAATCTATTCCCAGTGTGTGATTTATATCCCCTAAAAACCAACTGGAGGTTCAGCTATGAGTTGGTTAGGACTCAAAAGTACATAATAAAAACAAATGTTAAAAAGGACATTTTAGTTGATTGAAGTTATCCATCTGTGTTACAGGCATAGTAGATAACTATGATGCACACCGTTTTGGTTTCCCAGGGCAATGTGCCTCCTTATTTCCTGACTGCTGGTACCAAGGGTGTTGTTAATTGTGGATCCAAGCAAGGTAAAGGTGTTGACAGTTTCAATCTTCTCTCCATCTATCATGACTCTGCCTATCTGTCCAGTGGTAAGAATCTTTGTTCTCTTGACATTGAGCTGCAGTCCATACTGAAGGCTGCATTCCTCGATCTTCTACAACAAGTGCTTCAAGCCCTTCTCACTTTCAGCAAGCAGGGTTGTGTCATCTGCATAATGAAGGTTATAGATGAGTCTCCCTCCAATTCTGATGTTGCACTCCTTTTCATAGAGTCCAGCCTCTTGGATAACTTGCTCAGCATACAGATTGAATAAGTATGGAGAGAGAATACAACCCTGACTCACTTCCTTCTCAGTCTTAAACCATGCAGTGTTCCCCTGCTCTGTTTGCAGTCTCCTCGTCCACGTATAGCTTCCACATGAGCGTAACCAAGTGCTCTCCCACTCTTCTCAAAGTCAGCCACAACTTGTTATGATCCACACAGTCAAATGCTTTTGCATAGTCAATAAAGCACAAATAGATATTCTCTGGTATTCCTTACTTTCAATCATGATCCATCTGACATCAGCAATGATATCTCTGGTGGCACAGACTCTTCTAAATCATTGAACGTCTGGCAGTTACTTATCTATGTACTGTTCTAGACATTTTTAATGATCTTCAGCAGAATTTTGCTTGTTGTTGTTGTTATGTGCTGTCGAGTCGTGTGCGACTCATAGTGACCCTATGTACAACAGCCCTAAAAGCCTGCTCTGTCCTGTGCCAATCACACTGTCTCTGACACTCCCATCCCGATTACCCCAGTCACTGAACCAATCCACCTCATAGAGGGCCTTCCCCTTCTGCACTGTCCCTCCACCCTCCCAAGCATAATGTTCCTCTCCAAGTACCTCCTTATATGTAATATTAATGATATTGTTTGACAGTTTCCACACTCAATTGGGTCACCTTTCTTGGGAATGGGAACAAATATGGACCTCTTCCAACCCATTGGCCCGACAACTGTCCTCCAAATTTCCTGGCATAGATTGGTGAGTGTATCCAGATATCCTTGATATCATCCATGAAGAAAGCAAAAGGTCATTACAAAAAACAGAGGAGATGGTAGTAGAAAATTTTAGAAAAATATGAGAGCTCCGTTGGCCTAGTGGAGAGAAAGTTATACTACCAAGTCAAAGGTGAGTGATTTTAATCTGTGACCCTCAGGCCTGGTTTTAATTGCTTTTGGTCAAGCTTTCTTCTAAGTGGTATAGCACTGGTCTGTCCATTTGCTGTACAGAGGTTAACTAGTGGTTGCTATGATGCTCTAAACACTGTGACACTGATGTGTCAAATGCGATAATGGTTACCTATGATGGGCAGTGTTTTATGGAGTTTCCTGATTAAAACAAGCATGGAAGCAGGTGGCATCCACTTCTGAAACAGGTTGCCTCTGGAAACTCTGTGAACATGGAGAAATGATGAAAGATATACAACTATTCAAGTCTTCTATTCATAGGGTCTCTATGAGTTGTCTACGACTTGACGGCACTTAACAGCAAACAACAAGAAGTTGGGTAAGTATAGTTACAGACCCAGGAAACTGAAACTTAAAGTCATGTTCAGAAGAAAGTTGATTTGCCCTTAGAAAGGGAGGCTAGAAATTGGGATACCAGGTACTCAGAGAGCCACATTATAAACAAAGAGCTTGGTGAAAGTGCTATGTAATTAGACTTTTCAGTTGGCTCTTTCCCCTAGAAGATTCCCTGAAACTTATTTTCAGTAGAAGATGACTCTCTGGAAGGACCAGGTGAAAAAAGAGGTTGGAAATATGAGTTGAATGAGAGAAAGACTGCATAACCCTCCAACTCCTTCCTAATACTTGACTATAAATGTATTGTAGACAGGTTTTCCCTTTTCAGAGTCTAACCTGGGAAGTCTGAATAACCACAAAAAAAACTGAAAAATACTGACTGTTATAGATTCCTCAGCCATATCTTAAGAAGTAAAGCCATACAAACCAACAAACCCCACTCAGGTACACAGGACATTTAGTCAGTATTTTGTTTAGCTTGCTGCTTAGGGTTTTTTTGTTGTTGTTGTTGTTTGTTTATTTGTTTGCTTGTTTTGGTGCCTGAACATTTAAATATGAAATAGTAGCCATTTGCATACAAATATTTCAGGAAATTCTCTAAAGTAAAGGATAGATATCAATATAAACCAACAAATAAAAGAAATGTTGGAGAAAATAGACAATCCAGATTGGAAATATTTTAAAGATCAATATTAATATTCTCAGATATATAAGACATTGTGACAATAAAATAATAACAATAATAATATCTTTTTAAAAGATGACTAATCATCATTGCATATGGCTTGGAAGATAGAGATCATCAAAAGAAAATGAGACACAAAAGATATAAAACAAGACTCAGCCCTGAAAGGAAAATCTAAAACATAGGAGTCCTAAGAAAGAAAGAATGTAAAAGTAAAACATTTAACAGGTAGAGGAACACATATCGAAAAGATGAAGGGGAAGAAGACAGGATACAGATATTCTTTTTTAAACCAGAAAAATTGCTAGAACTGAAAAACATGAGTTTTTAAACTAAAGGTCCTATATATGTACAACTTATATACTAAAAGTCCTAGAAAAATGGATATATAGGCCATTGAAGACCCAAAAACATGTAAATAATTGAAAAATTGGAAAGGGGAAAATACATAATTAGGATGGACATAAAGGATCTGAAATCAGAAAGATAAAAAGAAACCCAAAACTTTTCAATATGTGTACTGCAAATGAGAAGAAAACAGGACATTTATTTCAAAATCCTGTATAAAAAATCATTTGCAAAATAGATTTCTAAACAAACATGTATCCTCTCTTGTGTACATTTTCAAAGAGTTACTTAAAATAGTATACTGATTAAATGAAAATAAAATCAATTTAGGATCTAGCAGGTGTGAAAATAGGAAGTTTTGCGAATTCCCAGGACAGTAACTCAGTAAAAAGATGTCTAAAAATATATACCCTACAGAAACCATGAATGTCACCCAAGCAGATAAATGCAGACCCATCTTTATTGTGGTTTTGTTCACAGTAGCAAAGAGTTGGAAACAATTCATGTGCCCATCAACAAACGAATGGAATATATGCAGCATTGAAAAACAAGGAACTCATGAAATATACAAAATGGGTGGCCCTGGAGGACAGTATGCTGAGTGAAATTATCTCAGTCACAAAAGGACGAATATTGCCTAAAGCCACTGTTGTAAAAAGCGACTGACATTGGGGTTGAGGAAAGACAGAAAGTGGGGATAAATAATGTGTGTGTATACTACATTGAAACAGATGAGGGAGAGAAATGTTTAAAAGGGATATATGACTAGGTATTAGTGTCATGACAGGAGTCCAGAATGAAGGCTGCACAGTGGAGTGGACTTGGGGGAGGGATTGTATAACAATGAAAGACTTTTTCTTTTACTTTTCAGAGAGAAGTGTGAATTGTAGGGGAGGGGGTGGGCAGGGAGAAAAGTGCAACAATGAATGAATGGTGACCCTAAGTCTCTATAAACTTTTATTAAAATCAGTTTAAAAACATATATTGATATGTGAAAAAAAAGATGAACTTGGCAAAATACATTCTCTTTTCAATACAAAAGAGTCAAATGTGTAATAGATGTATATTTAAATAAAAACAAGTCAGTAAGTAAATAAACCAAAGCAAGTATTAATTCTAGGGTAAGGAGAGTTGTACATTTGTTGTTTCCTAAGTAATGATATGGATGAAACCAAATTATATGATCTAAGACTTTTGGGATATTTCTGGGGAGAAAAAGCACACCAGAATTAACAAGAGTAGAAGAGAGGCTCTGGTGGCCTAGTGGCAAGAATCTATGCTGCAATCCTGAAGGCAAGTGGTTCAAATCCACCAGCTACTTTGTGGGAGAAGGATGGGCAGCCTCCTCCTGTGTGATTAACTGCCCTTGAAAACCTGCAGAGAGAGGGTTAGCTATGGGTTGGTTCTGACTTCATGATGGCACACAACAAAAACAGAGGGAAAGGTAGTAAATCCTTGTCTTTCAACTGGGGAAATCAATAATTACTTATTAGCAAGGATGCCTAGTAAGTAAGAGATTCTGCTGTCAACTCAAAGATCAGTGGTTAAAGTCCACCAGCTCTGCAAAACCACTAGAGGGTCACCTATGGGTTGATTCTGACTGGATGGCAATGAGTGGTTCAGACTCAAGGCCATGAGTTGACTTAAACAAGTGTTCAACAGAAAGATGTGGCACTGTTTCTGTAGAGACTACACCTTTGAAAATCTACTGGGGCAGTTCTATTTTTCCTATAGGACCACTGTGGATTAAAATGGACTAGATAGCAATAACTGTGGGTTTGGATCTTAGTAAGTATTTATTAAATACCTAAGAAGATACTCATTCTCTTTAGAAACCTGGAAACAAGTGAAATGAGTTAAAATACTAAATGTAGTTGATTTAGGGAAACAAATAGGGCAAGCAGAGTACTTTTCTCCAAACTTTATAAAAACTATTATAATTTTTCAATTTTGTGCACACATAACTTTGATATTAATAAGTCAATTAAAAAAATAACAATGACTTTACCTCAGCCTGTTCTGAAAAGGCCTAAACCACCTTGGTGCTAATAAGGAAGAATTATAAGCTGGTAATGATTTCAGTCTGTTTCCTAGTAGAGAGTGGGTAGAGATATAAAAATTGTTTTGAAGAATATAATCAAGTTTCAAGGATGCCCATTGTCACTATTTCTATTCAATATTGTATTGGAAGTACTTGCTAGCGCAATACGACAAGAGAGGGAAATAAAAGGCATCCAGATGGGCAAGGAGATGGTTAAACTGTCACTATATGCAGACTATAAGATAGTATACACAGAAAACTCCAAATACTCGAACAAAAAAAACCCGTTAAAACGTACGTGAACATAGTAGAGTGGCAGGATGTAAGATCAATAACCAAATATCAGTGGGATTCCTCTATGGTAACAAACAGAACTCAGAGAAGGAAATCAAGAAAGCAATATCATTTACAATGTTGTTGTTGTTGTTATTATGTGCCTTTGAGTCATTTGCAACTCATAGCAACCCTATGTACAACAGCCCTAAACCTTGCTCTATCCTGTGCCAATCACACTGCCTCTGACACACCCATCCTGATTACCCCAGTCACTGAATCAATCCACCTCATAGAGGGTCTTCCCCTCCTGCACTGTCCCTCCACCCTCCCAAGCATGATGTCCCTCTCCAAGGACCTGTCCCTCCTTACAACATGTCCAAAGTATGTCAGATGAAGCTCCAGAATTCTTGCCTCTAAGGAGTAGCCTGGTTTAACCCTCTCAGGATGAATCTGTTTGTTTTCTTTGCAGTCCGTGGTACATTCAATACTCTTCTCCAACACCCACAGCTCAAAGGCATCAATTCTCCTTCTATCCTCCCTAGTCATTGTCCAACTCTCTGATGCATAACAAGTGATTGCAAAGACCATGGCCTGCATCAGGCGCACCTTAGTTTCCAGAGAGACATCGTTGCTCTTGAGTACTTTAGAGAGGTTCCTAACAGCAGACTTTCACATCGCAATCCGTTTTTTTCATTTCCTGCCTGCTAGTGCCAAGAGTGTTGACCATGGAGCTGAGCAAACTGAAGCTGTGAACAATCTCAATCTCTTCGCCATCCATCCTGATGCTACCGATTGGTCCAGTGCTGAGAATCTTTGTCTTCTTGACATTGAGCCTCAGTCCATACTGAAGTCTGCAGTCCTTGACCCTCTGCAGCAAGTGCATGAGGTCCTTCTCAGTTTCAGCAAGCAGGGTTGTGTCATCTGCATAACGCAGACTGTTAATAGATCTCCCACCAATCCTGACACCATACTTCTCCTCATAGAGCCCAGCCTCTCGGATAATCTGTTCTACATACAGGTTAAAAAGTTATGGAGATAGGACACATCCCTGGTGTATACCCTTCCCAATACTGAACCATGCAGTGTAACCCTGCTCTGTTCTGAAGACTGACTCTTTGCCCAAGTATAGGTTTTGCATTAGCATGATTAAATGTTCTGGGATTCCCATTCTTCTCAGTCAGCCACAGTTTGTTATGATCCATACAGTCAAATGCCTTTGCATAATCAATGAAACACAGATAGACATTCTTCTGGTATTCTCTGCTTTCACCTAAGATCCATCTAACATCAGCTACAATATCCCCAGTACCCCAACCCTTTCTAAACCCAGCCTGGACTTCTGGCAATTCTCTGCTGATGTACTGTTCCAGTCGTTTTTGGATAATCTTCAGTAGACTCTTGCTTGCGTGTGAAATCAATGATATTGTTCTGTAGTTTCCACACTCTGTTGGGTCACCCTTCTTTGGAATGGGAACAAATGTAGATCTCTTCCAGTCAGTTAGCCAAGTGGTTGTTCTCCAGATTTCTTGGCACAATTTGGTGAGCACATCCAACGCAGCATCTGCTAGCTGAAATACGTCAATTGGTGTACCATCTATTCATCTACAATAGCTAATCACAAATCAGATACTTGGGAGTGAACCTAATAAGTGATACAAAAGACTTGCACAAAGAAAACTAATAACATTTTTTCAAGACACAATAAAAGACCTAAAGAAATGGAAAAACGTGCCCTGTTCATGGATTGGAAGACTCAATATTGTGAAAATGACAATCCTACCGAAAGCAATCTATATGATCAATGCAAAATGATCTTCCAAAATGTAATATCAGAGTAAATTTATGCTAACAACATGATACATACTAGCATTTTGTAGGTCATTTATCCAAATTGTTCTGGTTATAGTAAAAAATAAAATAAAACAACCAATCTCATCTACTCTCCATTCTATAGAGCTTATTGTTAGATTCTAATTAAGTAAAAACATTTAAATAGAGGAAGGAAAACTGCCTAGGCAATAGTAATTTTGCTTGAAATTATTAATACAATATTTTCCATGTGTTTTCATGAACTTCCAATCATTTTTGAACTAACTACAAAAGGCTATGCCTGATACAAACATTGTGCTATCTTGCCAAGGAACTGCTGAAATAAAATACTTTTAAAAAGAAACTAATAAGTAAAAATTCTCAGCCAGTGTCACTGTTATTCTTTTTGGTTTATCGAGCACAAATCTAGTTATATGATTTATATTTTGCTTGTTCTCCAAAATGTACAATGCTTTCAAGATTTTCTGTCACCTTTTCCAGTTACCCTGGGGAGAATCAGGAGTGCTAGGATTTTAATTGCAGCTATAACTGGATTTTGTTTAGGACTTAAGGTTTTACAAAAACATTCAAAGAGCTTTTTTCAGAAGTATATACAAAGATTTTTTAAATCCGGCAGGACAACAAATAACAATTTGAACGAACCCCACTAATTTTATTCTTCAAGAATCTCCAAAGTGGAGAAGCTGACTTACTTGTCGAGGATCACACTGAGTGAACTGGATGTTGCCCTTCAAACATCCTGGTGCCTTCATGCTTAACTAAGTCAAATCAGCTGCTATAAGTTGATTTTGATTCACAGCAACTCTGTGCATTACAGAGTAGAAGTGTCCTCTACTGGGTTTTCAGGATTGTGACCGCTTAGAAGTAGATTACCAGGCCTCTCTTACAAAGTGCCTTTCAGTGGGTCCAAATTATCAGCCCTTAGGTTGGTAGCAAAGTGATTCCTATCTTCCATATTGCCAAACTTAAAGAATGGGTTTTCCATGTTTGTCGTGGCGACCTAACAAGTGAAAGGAATTAATGTTTAACATTCTAGAATTTAATGAGCCAGTCTTCTTTTAGATGTTTAATGACAGATGACTTAAAATTGCTCCCTGATACTGCTTTGCGAAGACGTATAAAAGAGTTTGTAAATCTAGTAAAAAGTTGATCCTACCTGTTGTTCCTGAGGTAAAAATATAAAGACAATTGGACTTGAGGTTTGAGACAACATGGTGTCTGTGTGGTATGGGCTCCTCAGACGCTGTACTCAGTTTTTCCTTGAGTGAAATCACACCTCGTGGAAGAGAATCTCTCATCCCCCAAACAGTGATACCCTCAGGGAGATCTGGAAGGACTTCTTCTACAGCTTCAAGTAAATCTAAAAAAACACAGAGGTTTGGAAGTGAGTAAACAAAACATAAATCTCAAACAACTTAGTTTGTCTTAGGTTTTGTGTGTACTTGAAACAAGGGACCGTTGAAACAGATATAAATTGCAAACACAATGCTGTTTCTGTCTCTTGTTGGATGAGTAATATTGTAGCCATTTTAAAGTTTTGTTCCAACAAGCCAAACCAAGAGGTCATGAAGTCATCACCTGATTGAATCAATGTGAATAGGCCAAGTCAGAATAAATTTTGGGGCAATGGACAGTGAAAAGAATAAACAGACGGTTTGGGAAAAGTGCAGACAGAGTGCTTAATAGAGGAAAAGATGGTGAAGGTTTATCTTACATACTTTGGGTATATGAGTAGGAGAGAAAGGTGGCAGGAGAGCAAAGGAGAGGAAGATCCTAAACGAGATGCATTGACACAGGGACTGAAGCAATGGGCTCAGTTTTGGCAGTGACGATGAAGATGTCACTGGATAGGACAGGATTCATATCTGTTGTTCATAGGGTCTCTATGAATTGTTGTACTCAACTCAATGACACCTAATAACATTTTATTTTCCATGGTTCTAAACTCTGTATGGATTGGGGCTCAATGTCAGGAAGACAAAGATTCTCACCACTGGAACAATTGGCATCATCAGGATGGATGGTGAAGTGATTGAGATTGTTCACCACTTTAGTTTGCTTGGCTTCACAGTCAACACTCTTGGCACCAGTAGCCAGGAAATTAAAAGACACATTGCGATGGGAAAGTCTGCTGTTAGGGACCTCTCCAAAGTACTGAAGAGCAATGGTGTCTTCTCTGGAGACTAAGGTGCATCTGATACAGGCCATGGTCTTTGCAATCACTTGTTATGCATCAGAGAGTTGGATAATGACTAGGGATGATAGAAGGAGAATTGATGCCTTTGAGCTGTGGTGCTGGAGAGGAGTATTGAATGTACCATGGACTGCTAAGAAAACAAACAGATTAATCCCGGAGAGGGTTAAACCAGGCTGCTCCTTGGAGGCAAGTATTCTGAGGCTTTGTCTGACATACTTTGGACATGTTGTAAGAAGGGACCAGTCTTTGGAGAGTGACATCATGCTTGGGAGGGTGGAAGGACAGCCCAGGAGGGGAAGACCCTCTATGAGGTGGATTTTGATTCAGTGACTGGGGTAATTGGGATGAGTGTATCAGAGACAGTGCGATTGGCACAGGACAGAGCAGAGTTTCGGGCTGTTGTACATAGGGTCTCTGAGTTGCAAGCGACTCAATGGCACATAACAACAGCAACACCCTTCATACTCTCTTTTGAATATAAATTCTGAATATTCCACTAGAATAAAGATGAAAGATAAATAGTTATCCTTGAGCTGTATTGTTGTAGGAGATGATTGACTATCCCATGGCATATACCTAAAGAACAAACAAGTCTGTTTTTGAGGATGTATAACCAAGATGCTTCTTGGAGGAAAAGATAGTTAAACTTCATCTCACATACTTTGGGTATGTTGTCAGCAGGGGCTAGTTCTTGGAAATGGACATCATTCTGGAGAGATGAGGTAGACTGACACAAAAATTGGAACAATGAGTTTGATCATGAGGATATAACAAGGTTTAGATATGTTTTTCATATGTTGGCGAAGAGAACTGAATATTCCATGAACTGCCAAGGGAACAAACAAACAGTTCTTGGAGAAAGTTCAGCCACAGTGCTCTGCAGAGGCAAAGATGACAAAGCTTCTACTTGAATATTTGGGGCATGTTACTTCTTGTTCTTGTTCTTGTTATGGGCCATTGAACTGACTATGACTCATAATGACACTATGAACAATGGCTTGGAAAATTGCCTTCTCCTGAGCTAATTTCACAAACTCTGTTGCACTTGACCCCACAGCCACAATCACTGTGTCAGTCCATCTCATTCAGAGTCTTCCTCTCCTGCTCTGATCCTCTACCTTCTGAGCATGATAGACAGATCCCTCCTGGCTACATGTCCAAAGTACATGAGATGGAGCTTCAAAAACTTTGCCTCCAAAGAGCAAAGTGGTTTCACCATTTCCAGGACTGATTTGTTTGTTCTCTTGTTAGTCCATGGTATGTTCAATACTCTTCTCCAGCAATCCAAAGGCATCAATTCTTCTTCTGCCATGCTATTTATTCATTGTCCGGCTCTCAGATGTACTGCAAGCAACTAAGAAGACTATGGCCTGGATCAGGCACACCTTAGTACCTAGAATGACAACCTTGCAGTTTAGCACTCTGAAAGGTCTTGACAGAAGACTTTCTCAATGATTTCTTGACTGATAGTGCCAAAAGTGTGGAGTGTGGATCTGAGCAAGACGAAATTAACAGGCTAAATCTTTTCTTTATCTATCATGACCTGATGGTGAGTATCTTTGTTGAAATGCAATCCATAATGAAAGCTGCAGTCTTTGTCCTTCTGTAGAAAATGCTTCAAGTTCTCAGTTTTAGTGAACAAGGTTGTGTTGTTATCTCTCATCTCCTCTCCTTTCTTCTCTTTACTTTTTCTCCTTTCCCGTTCCTTCCCCTCTCCTCTCCTTTCCTGTTCTGGAGAAGGGAGGTCCATTCTCTCTTTCTTTCCTGGTTCTTGCTCTCAACGATAGGAGATCACCCCCTGCATGTAACTGTTTAAACATCCAGTAAATATCTGGTTATGCAAAGCTCTTATTACTAGTATTATCTTTCCCCTTATCTTAATCTTTTTTCTCCTCAGGGTGCTGTTCAACCAACTATAAATAATCCTTTAGAAATATAAGGACAGAATACAGCCCTGAACCATACTTTTCTTGATTTTAAATCAAGAAATATTCCCTTGCTCTGTTCTGATAACAGCCTCTTGGTCTAGATATGACTTCCCATGAGCACAGTTAAGTGCTCTGGGGTTCCTATTCTCAATGTTAGCCATAGTTTGTTATGATACACATGGACAAATACCTTTGCATAGTCAATAAAACACAAATAGACATTCTTCTGTTATTTTCTGCTTTCAGTCAAGATCCATCTGACATCAACAATGATATCCCTGGTGCCACAGCCTCTTCTAATCCCAAAACCCAGTTTGAAATTATGGAAGTTCTCTGGCAATGTATTTTTAATTTTTCATTTTTAGTTGATCTTCAGCAGTATATTACTTGCATATGATATTAATGAAGCCGTTGTTGCATGCCATTGAGTCGACTATAACTCATAGCAACCTTATGTACAATAGCTCTGAGCCCTGCTCTCTCTTATGTCAATCTCACTGTTCGTGGCACATCCCTCATTACCCCAGTTACTGTGTCAATTCCTCTCATCTAGGGTCTTCCTCTCTTGTGCTATTGCTCCACCTTATAAGCATGATTGTTTTCTCCAGGGACTGGCCCTTCCTGGCAACATGCCCATGCAAGATGGAGCCTCAAAATCTTTGACTCTAAGGAGCAGCTTGGTTTCATCATCTCCAGGACAGACTTGTTAGTTCCTTTGGTAATCTATGGTATGCTCAATACTCTTCACCACAACTCAAAGGCATCAATTCTTCTTTCATCTTTGGTCACTGTCCAGTTCTCTGATGCAAAACAAGTATTTGCAAATACCATGGCCTGTATCAGATGCACCTTACTTTTTAGACTGATTCTTGCTTTTCAGCACTCTGGAGAGGCCCCTGACAGCAGATTTCCCTAATGCAATTCTCCTTTTGAGTTCTTGACAGCTGGTGCCAAGAGTGTTGACTGTGGAATCTAGCAAGCTGAATTGTCAACAATCTCAATCTCTTACCCATCTAACATGGTGCTGCCAATTTGCCCAATGGTTAGAATCTTCATTTTCTTGATGTTAAGCTTCAATCCATATTGCATATTGTTCAATAATTTCCTTTTTCTATTGAGTCACTTTCCTTGGGAATGGGAACAAAAATGAGTATATTCCAGTCAGTGGCCAGGTAGCTTTCTCATATCTATTAAGTCCTGTGTCCTTTCACTATGTCTGTTCAATTTGTATGCTGAGTAAATTATTTCAGAAGTTAGACACTATAAATATGGATGTAGTATCAGTACTGGAAAAGGATTAACAACCTGCATTACATAGATGACACATTCTGTTTGCTGAAAGCAAGCAGGATTTTAAACACTTGATGCAGATAATCAAAGACCACCTCTTTCAATATGGATTACATTCTGACATCAAGAAGACAAAAATCCTCACCATTGGGCCATAGGCAACATTATGATAGGTGGAGAAAAGACTGACATGGCCAAGATTTCATCTTCCTTGCATCTGTAATTAGCACCCTTAATACCAGAAGTCAGGAGATCTGGAGATACATTGCACTGAGAAAGGCTTCCATTTAGAGACCCCTCCAAAGTACTGAGGAACAATGATGTCAGTTTGGGGACTAAGGTGTGTATGATTCAGACCATAGCATTTTCAATTACTTGCTATGTATCTAAGAGCTAAACAATGAATCGGGATTGCAGAAGAAGAGTAGATGCTTTTGAGCTGGGGTGTAGGAGAAGAGTAGTGAATATTCCATAGAATGAAAACAGAACAAAGAGAAATGTCTCAAAGGGAATGCAGTCAGAGGGTTCTTTAGAGGCAAGGATGATGAAGTTTCACCTTACATCCTTTGGGCATGTTGTTTGGTGGGTTTTTCTTTAGAAAGGGTCATCATGCTTGGAAAGATGGAGTATCAGCAAAGGAGGGGAAGGCCTCAGGGAGAGGGGTTTGTTACAGTGACTGCAACAATGGGCCTAAGTCTATCGAGATGATGAAGATCACAGAAGCTAGGACAGGGTTCATATCTTCTGTTCATACCATTACTATGAGTCATACTCATCTTGCAACTAACAACAACAGCAACATGAACCTTTAAAAGCCAACCGATAAAAAATAATATTTTTCAGAAGTGATTAAGAGTCATAGTGCAGAGGAGGGCCTGGCAAGAGAACAGATGAGAGAAAATTCCCCATCTGAAACAGGTGGCTCCAAGACCTAGGCCAATTTTA